TCTTTTATGATGATAAATTTGTTGAGTGATTTTATTGATAGAAATAACTAAGTTGAGTGATTTTATTGATACAAAATAAAGTTCAATGACTTTACTAGATTTTTTGAGATATTAACTCTACTAATTCGGATCTAATGAGTGTTGATTAAGAAGACATAAAATTAGAAGAATATTGATACTCCGAAAATCCTTTTCCCATTTGAAACATTTTATTTTGTACTCATATAAAGTCTATTTTTATTTTACAAATTTACAAATAAGTAAAACATAATTATATGTTAATTATGTAAGCACAAAAATACCTAACACAAATTACGTTAATTAGACAGGTGGGTCCAAAAGGCAAAAACAATAACAACAACAATAATAATAGGAAAAATACCTAAAATACACAATTTACTTTCTCATATTTTCTAAAATTTTCTACTAGAAAAAATTATAAAAATTCATACTATCTCCTATTTTCGGATACATCACTTTATGCAATATATCGGAACGTACGCAATGTATCGGCACGTGGAGTGATGTATCCAAAACAGAGACATGATGTATCAGAACATTAAGGGATGTATCCGAGACTGAAACGCGATGTATCGGAATGTTCTTGGAATATATCCGAGTTCCACCAAATTTAAGAGATTTTTGTAATTTGAAAAGAATAGAGATAAATATAATTAACTCTAAACACTATAAAAATTTGTGTAAAAAATTCCATAATAATATATCCAGTAAATCTGATGAGAATAGAATATATACACATTTTTCTATTATCTCATGAAAATAAAAAAAAAATCTGATTATTAGCTCGAATACGACAAATCAAAGTAAGTACAATTGGGTCTTTGTTACACGAATCTAGAACTCGCTAGGTCAGCCCGGTGGCTTCGTGTACCATAACCCTACCCACTTTATTAATTGTCAAATTGACTCCTCCTCTTCTACGCCATACATTTCTCATCAAAAATTACTTATTTAATCTTTGGTACCATGAACTTCTTTTTCTTTTTATCGTTTTCTTTCGAGGTTTGTTATACGTATTAAAATTTAATCAAATTGAAATTTGTGTATTAAAGAAACTATCTTTTTCTTAAAAGAAATGCTCCTAATATTATTAAATATTACATCAGGTCATTGAATACCACGTATTAAGAAAAAATCGAAAGTGTGTTGTTTGTTAAAAATTATTTATTTCTAGAATTTTTTTTTCGAAATGACTTTTAAAAAAGTGTTTTTGGAAAAAATAATTTGTGTTTGGTTAAATTTTTTTAAAAAAAAGTTTTTGAGAGTCAAATTACGAAAAAAGATAAGTATCAACGTGTTTAAAATATTAATATTATTTTATAGAGAGAAATTATTTAATTATCTATTACAAAAATTTTAATTAAGATTTTATTTTCATTAAATATTTAAAAATTTAAAAATCATTCCACAAACTAAAGCACTATATACGAAAAAAATCACCACAAAAATAAATAAAGTCATTCATATTTTTAATCCTACAAAAATGTTGTTGTTACCTTTATTTCTAAATAAAAAGTAAAATAACAATAAATAATAATATATAATCATAAAATGAATTTTTTTTATATGAAATAGTAAATAATTTTCTGCTTTTTTTTTTAAGAAACATAATTTCTTAGCTTCTTCACAATAACAAAAAACCTGATTCTTCTTCCATTTAAAAATAGTTTTAAGAATTTGCCAAACACTTAATTTTTTTAAAAATAATATTGTTTTTTTAAAAAAATAAAAATTGACCTTCCAATAACAATGTCAAACAGACTCTTAGTTCTTTAGCATCGATTATTTGTATATATAATAATTTATCATAAATTAACAGTTAAGTTTTACGTTGGCATCCAATGTATTGACGTCCTCATATTTTATTCACACTAAGTAGATGTTTGGTCATTTCAAATATTTTTTCTTTTTAAAAATTTATGAAATTAAAGTTCAAAATGAAATTGTTTTTAATCATTTTTTATACGATAATTTAGAATAATATTCATACTTTAATATATTTAATTATAACTTTAAAATAAATATTAATTAAAAAATGGCCCATGGCCAATAGCTTAATTAAAAAGAAAGTTATAAGTTATTTTTTAAATTAAAATATAATTTAAAATTGAATTTGAAATTTTTATGACCAACCATTAATTTTCAAATAAAATAAAAATTCATTCTAAAGAAAGTGTAGTAGAATAATTTTTATGGAACTATCAACATGTGAATTGACAATATTCAAAACAATTTTTAGATTGTCAATTAATTTTGATTTTATTTCATCAAAACTAATGTGCAACTTCTTATAACAAAATAGTCACTCAATTTTATTCGAGCATAATAAAAGCTATTAAACTGTTCTTTTATAACAAAAAATCACTCACCACATTTTCCTCATAATTACATTTCAATTTACCAAAATTAAATCAAATAAAAGATCTTGTAATCCAAACTTCCGAATACCCACAAGTGTCCATTCTTTTGTAAAATTATTCACCAATGAATTAGGCATTCGAAAATACTGAACATGATTATATAGATCACAATTTCAAAATCATTTTGTAACTTGCTAAAATAATTACTATTAAGGACTTAACCATTTTCTTAAAAGAGCTAGACAATTTAAATACCAAACTTTCTTTTTATTTAATCATGAGATAAGAATACAAGTCAACATCTTGATAATATCAACTTGTCAAAATCAAACATATACTACCAAAATAGTAAGGGAAACACCTCCAGATCAGCTTCCAAAGTATTGTATGTTCCACGACCCATAAGTAATAATCCATTAAAATAGCGGAGCCAGAAATTCAATAAAGGATATATTATTTTTTTTCTTAATTGTGTTACGAACGTGCAAAAAAAGAAATACATGATAATAATGATTATAATAATTTAATTTGTATACACTACATAATTTTTAATAATAAATTAATCTTTGCCTAAAATGGCTCCGCTCATATTTTGTATTGAGAACCATTGGATCTTTTCCGGTCCCATACAATCTAATGATACAAATTTCAAAGACAATTGAACTTGTATGGTTGTCATTCAAAAATAAAGTTAGAATGATGAGTTTATAGATTTTGAATTTTAAAAATAAAAAATTATTAAATATTTAATATATTTTTATATATGTTTAATAAATTCAATATAAAAAATAAAATACGTAAACTTGCAGTAAAAATGCTAACTCATCTTTAATTTTATTGAGAAAAAAAATTAATAATTGATTTGATGTAATTCGATTTGAATCTCTATTTTAAATTTTATTAGAGGTCATAGAGAGGAAAAAGGTAGGTGATAAACACCAAAATAAGATAGAAATTTTAAGGGTTTTAGGCCACATGACATACGTGGATTTGAGATAATGAGTTGTAGACAAAATATTTATGGTATAGCGGTTGACATGTAAGTGATTAATTGTGGTGGTTGATAGTAATTGATAATTAATTAACAATCGAATGATACAAATAACTAATGACCATAAAAAATGTTAAAGACAATTAGCTATATTGATTACAATACATACATTAAGAATATATATATATATATACCCCTGCCTGTTTCTTACACATCAATCAAATTTGTTTAATAATTTATGATTTAGTTGTACAAATTTCAGCCATACAATACACCTAAACTCATTAAACACAAGATTGTCCAAACAAAATCACCACTCTTAAATATAATAAATTTATTACAGAAAATAAAATATATTAAAAATAATTATAATTAATAACAAAAATAAATATAAAATCAATCAATAAATTATTTTTTAATTATCTAAACTAGACAAGTAAAAGTATTTAATTTTGGTGCAAGGTAGAGAGGGTATTGTAATACGCCATTTGATTCATATTAAGTAAATTAGTGATATTCTTTTCATAATTCAAAATAAGTAAATTATTTAAGATTTTAAAAAATTATTGATTTTTTTCTTATTTATCCTTATTTAATGAAATTCTTAATTATTTTATTTTATATAGAAGTATATTTAATTAATAATCAAAAGAAAAATGGTAAAAAATAATTTTAATTTTAATTAAATATTTTTGCTAAAAAAATATATCATATCTCGATAATTTACTTAATATAGACTAGACGAATTATGATATGTTATATAATTAAAGTTAACCGGATGTCCCATTAACCCCTTTACCGAAAAAAGAAAAAAAAAAAAAGCCCCAAAACCACTGATGACAACCAGGTGGCGGTAAAAAAGTGGAAAGAAACAGACGGCTGGTCTTTCTTGATTACTCACTCGGTTTCGTAATCATCATATTAAAAATAGTTATTTTATACTCACTCCGTTTAAAAAAGAATGACCTCCTTTATTTTATAGTCTGTTTAAAAAAGAATGATTTTTTTCTTTTTTTGGTAACATTTTAATTTTAGTTTACCACGTGGTATGTTTAAGACCACAAGATTAAAGGACAATTTTGTATATTTGACATAACTTTAATTTATGACCACAAAATTCAAAAGTCTTATTTATTTTCTTAAATTTCGTGTCAAGTCAAATTAGATCATTCTTTATGAAATGAGTGGAGTATTAATTGTCTATCTTATTAAATAAAAAAATATTAATTAAGTTTTTATTTATTTTTGCAATTAATTTTTTTTAAAAGTATTTATATTTATTTATTTATTTATAAGATAAGATTCTCAAGAAACATTTTAAGCAATTATCTTTTTGCTTATGAATTTTTAATACAGATATAAAAAGAAAAGTGATCAAGTAATATAAGACGGAGGAAGTAGCTTTCATTACACGCGCCTCACAATCTGATTTAATATAATGAACAAAATTGGTTCAAGTTCATCCAAATCTCAATTCCTCAAAAATCATTCACCACAACCACAACAATACTCCAAAAAACTCTTTTCTTGTATACTACCTTTTTTCTCAAAATTCATTACAAAACTCCCTTTTTGATTTTCTCAAGAAAATCCAAGTTGTTAGCTTTTTGAGAAAAACCCATCTTTTGGTTTAAGTGAGAGATGCTGCACTTGTTCTTTGCAGTGGCGTTTTCTGCAGTGCCTTTGACTCTGTATATACCTCCGATGAGAAGCTTGAATCTTTTTGTGGAAACTATGGAGGATCTTTGTAGGGAATCAAGTGTTTATACAGGAAGGATGTACCCAAGGCTACGACATGCTTGGGCTAGGTTCTTGAATTGTATGTTTTGTGTCACTACAAGGTAGATTATTCAAGATTCACTAAACTTGAAACCCTCTGTAAATAATATGTTTTGGTTTAAGAGTTTTTTTTTCAATTTCAAGTTTCAGCCTAAGATAACTCTGGGTTTGTGGATTGTTTGGTGGGTTCTCTCTGCAAGACCTTTTTTTTTGTTTCAGAGATTTGATGGTTCATGTTAAATCAAAGTGCATTAATAAAAAAGGGTTATTATAGGTTGCAATTTTTTCTATTTCTATGCATAATTCAATTAGTTTATAATGTTTCAAGATTAATGGTTTTGGATTTAGTTTTGTTAGACTGCGGTTTATGAGATCTGAATATTGCTGTTTTGGTTATCATTGTTCCAAGAGAATTATTGCCAAGTGAAAAAGATAGGACTCCTTTTCTGCTGTGGGGTTCTTTTTGGTGGTCCATCATGATAAAAAAATAAATGGAGATGGAGATAAAGCTGAAAGCTGTGTTTGGGCTCCCATGGCAAGAATCAATCACAATCTTTTCTGATCTTATCTTTCTAATAATAGTATATTAGAAAGATGCTATATTCCAACCAATGAACAATAAAAGGATAATGTTATTTAATATTCTGGACTTTTGAACTGTTTTCTTACAACTTATTGTCCTCAAAGAAATGGGGGTAACTCATAGATTGATTGAGTGTATCAGAAACTATAAAGAATGAAAGAATATGGAAAAACAAATTGACACTTTTAAGTATGGAAGGAGTAAGCACTTCATGAAATGTTTGTTCAGCAACAGTGGTGGCTTGAACCTTTCAGCTGGCAAGTGTGCAAGGCTTCAAGAACCAGAAAACATCCAAAGCTCTTGCAGCTTCTTTTTCAGCAACAATAGCAGCACCTCTCTGTCCTTGTTGATTATTATTACTAGTCATCATCTTCCCTGGATCTTCCTTTCTCTTCCCTTCATTGCTGCTTTGTTCCAGTTCTTGAAGGATCCCCCTTGTCTCCTAATGTTTATTTCATACAAATTCAGTGTTATTAGTCCCAGGATTATTTTGACCAACAGTTCAAAACATTAAAAGTACTCTTGCTTTTTTATCAGAACAAGCTAGTGGTGGTAACAACACAATAAGCCATGTCTTAATGATCTAAAATAGTGCTGATTCTAGCCCAAGCTCAGCTCAAATATCATATGAAATCGAATCTTGAGGATTAGTTGGTTGTAGCTAAAATTGCAGACTGCACTGCACTGAAACTATACAGAAAACCCTTGGCCTAGTCTTTAACTGGACATGATAAGTTAGCTCATAAGGTGAGGATTGCAAGGAGATAATGGGCCAAACACATCACAACAAGTAGAAAATAACAGTTCATAATGATGGACTCTGTAAGCAAAGAGGGTATTGTGTTAGTGAGGCTGAAAATTTCTGAACAAGTATCACTATGCACAAAGTGAGGAGATCACAGGCTGAAAATTTCTGAACAAGTATCACTATGCACAAAGTGAGGAGATCACAGGCTACTACTGTCTACGAGTCTTGAACTGCAAAATTCAATCTAGAGACACAGTAAGGTTTACACATACCAGAGGCCTAGATTTCGAAGGCTTAGATGGAGTAGCCTTTGTAATTCCCCGGCTGGCTGAGAAACACTGAGGAGTGGGAGGATTTGTGCGGATTTGAGACAAGATCTCTTCATCTCTGCGCTTAATGTTCTTCACATCCACAAGTATTGGTGTGTTTTCTGCATTATCATTTCTCCTGCATAGATAGAGTTCACCAACAGTTATATTCAGTACCTCTAATAATGTATTTGCTTGGCCAATTGTTTCATTTGGGTAACTATTCAACTATAAGCTATGCGGGTTCAACTGAAACTAGTATTTTCAATGCAAAAAATTGGCTGACTAAATAAAGTATGTGATGTAAAACTTACAGTTTCCTTCTCTGTTTCTCCTTAGTGATGCTCTTTGCCACTAGTTCATAAGTTTCTTTAGTCATCTCCAGCAATGGCTTCCTTTCCCTTTCTTTATCATCAACAATTAGTGGCAAGTTCTCATCTGCACACTTCTCTCTCTCTTTAGTCCTGGTAACTACCAGTCTCTTCAGCTCATTGCAAAACTCAGACACCTTGTTCAACAAATCCCCACCAGCAAAAAGATTCCTAGCTGAAAGAGTACTTTTCAGCTTTGGTATATGTTCCTCTTTTTCATCAACTGGCTTCTTCTCCGCGCTCGACTTGATTGTTTGTTTCATCAATTTAGCCTTGAACCTTGGAGGGGTTGCAAAATTGGGATTCTGATTTTCACCATCTTCAACAATCTTGTCATATTTAAAATCCTTATTCAATGATACCAACGGTTGAATTAGCCCCCTCTTCTTCAATGTTGCATCTCTGAAATTGAAAATACCATTTATTTCATAATCTTGTCCAAATAAAAACTCAGGTAGAATCGATTGCATAATAAAAGATTGGATTTTTTCTTCCATTTGTTATACCTCCTATTTCGTTCCCCAAGAGGAATATCAGATACACTAGCTGATCTTTGAAGCTGTTAATCACAACAAATTTAGCAAGTAAAACGTGTCAAATAACAGAGCAAATCTTTGATTCTCAAGAAACTAACCATTACCCACAAGAATTTAGAACAGAGTACTCTTAAAACTAGCAAAAACACTCAAATTACAATACCTCACTTGTGGGATTTTCAAAAATAGGAAGAAAGCACAAACCTTTGAAGAGGAGGAAGGGGTAGCTACTTTATAGAAATCTTCCACTGTCTTTGGATGATTACACTCTGTTCTCCAAAACAAGAAGAAGTTAAACAGAAAATTCCCAAAATGAAGTAAAATTAAGAATCAAAATTTACCAGGTCTGCAGAACCAAGCATCATCATCAACAGGAGCATCGGGGGCGAAGAAATCAACCCATTGAGGAGCTTTAAAATGCTCATAAAGATCGTCTTTAACAAATCTTGAATCAATGGTTTTCCAATCAATGACAGCTATCTCCATGAAGCTCTTCTGCTTCTTGAACAATGAACAGAGTATGTACAAAACCCAGATAAAATTTCGAGAAATAAAAATGAATTCACAGGTGAAAATGCAACGTTTCTTTGTTGTTGAAGGAGCTGACAACAAAGAGATTTTAACAAGACCGTTGGGATTTAAGGCTTTTCCAGGTTTTTTATTTTTTGTTTTATTTATTTCTTTTTTTGACCGTTAGGGGATTTTCTCATTTATTTATTTATTATTTATTTTGCTGAGTTTTTAATCCATGGGAATTAACTCCAGATCTAACTACAAGACAATAGTATTTACTTGTGGATCTAATGTGTGGTACGGCGAGGCGAAACATTTTTTTTTAGAAAAATAACTTTTTTTTAATGTAGGGAAAATAAATTATGTAAGTAACTTTCAAGTTCATTGTTTCATCTCCACGCATCAAATGTCTCCAAATCTCCTTTCTTGACCATTTCGCCCTCCATCCCATCTCATCCTCATAATGTTTTACTAGTTTACATATTACTTACTTTTTTACTTAACAAATACTAAAAGATAATAAGGAATCCAATTATTTTTCAAGATTTTTTTTTTTTTTGTGAAAACGTTTTCCTTCATAACAAACACACCTAAGTTTCAAATCAACTTATATCACTGTATCTCCAACTAATCTTAAGATACTTATTATAGTGCAAAACATAACTTTGAAAATAAAATATATTGCAAATTAATGACTATATTTAAGGTAATATCATTATACAAATACTCATAGATGGTTGGGCATCATGAGTTGTGAACATAACATATATATATTTCTCAATCAATTCACTCTTTGTAAGCCTACTTTATTCACCGATTTAAAATTCAACCTATTGGGAATTCTATCATTATTAGTAGTTGATTTGTCGCTTTATTGACCATTGAACATATAAATTCAATAACTATCCTAAGATATAATTGAAAAACGTTTCTATGATAGTGGTAACGCAAATTACAGAATTTCGAACAACTCAAATATCAAAGCAAATCATACTATATTTACGTTTTGTTTGAAAACAATGCACTAAGAAGACAAGAATAATTTTAGATTTTTAGTATATTCAATATATAAAATTCAAGCTACTTAATTCTATCTAATACATAAAGTTAATGCATGCATTAATTTTGCTAATACACTCTACCAAACATTACTAATATATTCTATTTAGCATTATTCTTATACACTCTACCAAATGATCCCTAAATTTATAGACCATAAAAAGGTGAAATTGAGAAATGCAATCTAAAAGTAAAAGGAGTTTTTTTTTTTTTTTCTCATTTTCCATTCCCACCTTATAACATTCATGCCTCCGCATAAACTTTAACGTACCTTACCCGTTCAACACCTTCCATCCGTCCGACTCTATTGCCATCCCTAATCATCTCAATTTTGAAGACAAAGACAAGACGTCCAGTGTCTAATTTAGAGTTTTTTTTTTTTAATTTTACATACTAATAAATTGGTCCTTTAGTTATCTAGTTATTATGAAGAAAACGATATTATTTAGAAGATAAATAAAATGTTAAAACTCTTGTTTTATTTCTTTTACAATTTTTAAATTTAAAAATATTAAGTGGCATTGAAAAAATGAAGAGAAATTAAAATATTTTTTTAGTTAGAAATGTCATATTTAAAGCAATAACATTCTCCTTAATTACCTCTGTACCTATCATCTCCACTTTTGACTCCACTGTTAGAGGCAAGAGAAAGACTCTCTCTTCTCTACATCTTACTTAAAAAGCAACCCATAATTCCCAAAAACTTAATCTCATTGATCAGGTACTAACCTTTTCTTTATTTTCTCTTTTAAAAAAAAGTTAAACTTATATTTACATTCTTCAAAGAGTGAAAAGGTAGAATTTGTTTTAAGTTTATTCCATTTTGTTTTGTTTTTAGATGATTGTTTCTTTTTATGTGATATATGATATTTATTTGGAATAAGTTTTGAATCTAATTTCACCTTTGTCACACTTGTTTTATGAAATTGAAATGTATATAAGATCATGTCAAAGTGATTTTTAGCATTTGAACAATTGTATATATATATCTACTAGACATACATACTAGTGTAACCCCCACGAGTGGACTCTCACGATGTATGCATACCTTATTCTTATCTTTGTGGGGTAGAGAGAGACTGTTTTTTATAGACTCTGAGCTCAAAATAAATATTTATGAACCAGGATTAATGTAACTCTGACAAAATAATAATAATTCCTTT